AATATTGTAGCATATCATGTATATTGGGCAATCCTCCAAGAATCGCAGAATATGTTGGTCCTACTATGCCAGATGTACACTTGAATGTAACAAAAATACATAAAACAAAACCTTTCCAACAGCCTGGCATTCGTTTTATGTCGAATGCTTATCGAAGCTTACGGTGAACCCACTTTTTGTAAAACGGAATGTTATGGGCGGTTCATAAAATTCAGAAGTAAGAAAGGAAGAGCGCGGGAAACCATCAAAAAAATTTGCAGGTAATGATTTTCACGCGTTATCAGATGGAAATGATACTAAACTCAACAAAGTTCAAGACTCAATTGAAATTGACCAAAAAGCCGTAAAGTTTTAAAACTATTGGAAAGATTCAGGAAATGGAAAAATGGGTTCCATGTGAAGTGATAATGTAAAAGTAAGAAAATGCATGATGTGATCCTGCAATGTTTGATGAGATCCGAAAGGTGCTGTATATTCTTAGCTGCTAAAATCTGGTTAACCAACATAAAATGATCGATTTAAATCGAGCATTACGTAAAAATAGCCGGGCTATGGAAAAAACCTCCCCACAGCCTGCCACGAAGCACGATTCCGAGCCACCTGCATCCATCGACTTTTCGCACGTTTGCACAGGTCGTTTGCACTCCATCTAGTGGGGGGTCGTCCCACACTAAGATGGCCACACTCGAGAACCTTACTTCCCCAGCGGTAACCGGTTCTACCAAATATATGGCCGGCCTATCGCCAATTCAGCTTACTAACCTTCTGAGCTATGTCGGTTACTTTTGTTCTCCTGCAGATGTCTTCGTTGCGAACTCTATCATGCAGAGAATTAGCATAGTCTGCTCCATAGCTTGCTGAGCGACTTTGAGCTTCCTAATACGGTCAGCAGTAAATGAACACGTGTCAGTTCCGTGTGTCTGGCAACACACATTGGTTGAAGACTTTGGTCTTCAAATATATGGGTATATTCGACGAGATTTGCCGAAGATTTCCAAACGCTGCCCATCCGAGTTGGATTCGCGATTGACCTCTGCCTCGAAGTTGGACTTACCTAGCCGAACTAACTGTCCTAGGTATACGTACTCGTCAACAACTTCACAGTGCTCCTAACAACAACCGGTATAGGCGTGAAATGGACATTAGAAATGATCTTCGTCTTTTCCATGTTCATCTTAAGGCCCGCCCGTTGGGAGACACTGTTGAGGTCATTGAGCATAGTTCTATGGTCATCCAGCGATTCTGCCACGATGACTATGTCGTCGGCAAATCGAAGGTGGGTGATGTATTCGCCATTCATGTTTATATTATTTCCTTTCCAGTTCAGAAGCTTGAAAACATTTTCCAACACAGCGGTGAAGAGTTTCGGGGATATGACATCACCGTTTTACACGTTTCTGCATTTGGATAAGTTTTATACTAATGGACTGTACTTGGACGGACATCGTAGACTTGTTATACAAACACTTCGGCACCTCGATATACCGACATTCAATTTGGTACCGCTGAAGGGTCTGGAGTACCGCCCAAATTTCGACAGAATCAAAGGCTTTCTCATAGTCCACATATGTTAGGCACAAAGGCAGATTATACTCTTCGGTCGTCTGTATAATCTGCCACAAGTGTGTGTATGTGGTCTATGGTACTGAAGCCTTTTCGGAATCCGGCTTATTCGGGAGGCTGGAAGTCATCGAGTCTAGAAGCGAGACGATTCAAGATGACACTTGAAAACAACACATAGACGCGGCTCAGAAGGGTTATCGGTCTATAGTTCTTCAAGAGAGCGTTATCGCCTTTCTCCACGCCTCTGGTATAGCACCATCCTGAAGGACACAACTAAAGAGCCTCTGAAGGACCACAAGTACTGGTTCATCCGCTTTCAGAAACTCTGCTGTAATTCCGTCTTTTCCTGATGCTTTGCCATTCTTAAGACGGTCAAGAGCCATTCTAATCTCGCTCAGACTGACGTCTGGGATATTCTCGGAATAGCTTAGTCGGATAAGCTTTCTCTTAGATCGTTACTCACGCAATATGTGTGAGGCTCCAACGACGATTTGTACAGCTGTCCATAGAATCTCTCAATCTCTCTCAAAACCTCTGGTCTACTGGAGATGATAGTCCCATTGTCAGTCTTTAACTTAATCAGTTGGCTTTTTTCGATAGACAGATCTCTGGTGAAGACCTTTGAGCCTAGGTTCCGCTCTATAGCTCCCTCAATACGAGCTATATTGAAGTTGCGTTAGTCTTGTCGCATATATTTTAAGATCTGCCTATTAAGCCGCCTGTAGTCTGACATGACAGTTAAAGACTGCAGCCGCATCTCACGTCTTTTTCCCAAGAGGTTAACAGTGTGATAGAAGGCAAAACGTTCTATTTGCACGGCGGGCCTTATAAAACTTAAGGCCCACGATATGCACATTTTCCGAGAGCTAAGCGTTAATATCGTCCACCGTGCTGCAATTTTCTAGGTATAGGAAGCGATTATGTAGTTGGAGCTGAAAGCTTTCGGATGGTCGGAGTGTGTCATCAGACGAGATCTTTCCAGCCTGATGTTAATAATCAATGTGCCTCTTACCAATTGGTGATCACTGCCGGTCTTCACCCTTGTGATTACAGAGAGATCATAGAATTATTGCAGTTTTTTCGTCATAATGAATTCTATCTCGAACCATCATTTTACCATCATTTTAATCATTTTACAGAACCGTCTGGGCTAATCCAGGTCCACTTTATGTGTGTGCTGCTTTTTAAAGAAGGAGTTCATCATAAAGGGTCTCTCCTTCTCCATAAAGTCAGCCAGCTGCTGCCCTTTGGATTCCGTTGCCCTATTCTAAAACTACCTACTCTCAGCTCATCGTCTTTCCTTTTGCCTAGTTTTGCGTTAAAGTCTCCCATTTACTCCATGTACTGAGTTTTGTAGGAGTTATTATGTCCGCACCCTGTTTTCGGACTTCAGATAATCCTATACCAGTATATAGATATAATAATGTCCCAACGCTGCCTGTTCACCTCTGGAAAGATCAGTTCACGCTGGAAGAATCCAGCTCGTTAGTCCTCAATGTTCTTGCGTTATATGTTGCCAGGTCCAGGCACCGTCGTTGGTAGCAGAAACCTAGCCGGAGATTCTTAGCACCCCCTGCCGTGCTTTTACCATGACCGCTACCGTAACCAGGAATAGCACGGCCGATGGGAACTGGCGGCCGCTCATTTTGGGGGGGTTTTGCCATAGTTGTCACACGTGGCAAGCGGGTTGGCAACCACAGTTCCTCCAGACTCTTCGTACCTTTAACGCTGCTGCCCGTTATTAGCCTGGATATTAGGCTAGAGAGTCGAGATGGTTATCCCGCCATCTATCGGTGGCCACCAGATGTTTGTGGTTTGTCCCTTAGTCGCCTCTTACGACACCCACGGGATGAGATGGGGTGGCTTATTCTTACGCCGGCACCACACGGCTAACATCTTTTTTGGCACAAGGTTTCAATTTTGGTACATTGTAAATGTAGTTATTAATTTTTGTCAAATTTAATGGACTGGAAACTTGGAAACGCGATGTGTGATCTCAGTTTAAAATTATTAATTATGTTAAAATCATGAGATACTGCACTTTGACTCTATAAATTACTCCTTTTATAATTTTCTGCATTATTAGTCGTTATACAGACATTATTAGCAATTTTAAAACATAACAGGCTTTGCCGGACCAATACCCAAGGCAATTATTGGTTGTCAATTTCTTTAAACATTTTTAATACTGCTGTTTAAAAATAGGCGATTTAAAAATGTTGACGATATGCAATATTGTTTGAATTAGGATGTTCACTTGACTAAATGTCTGAATAAATCAAGGTTTAGAGTGATTACTTTAAAGTTTTCGTTTTATAATTCAATAACCATCTTGTATATACCTAAATAGCAAACACCTATATTACAATTTATGTATTTTATATAGTAGTTTTGAACTATATATGCTTTATATGTTATATTTGTTTAAAAAGGATAGTTTTCTAATTCAAATTAAAATTCGTACTTTTTTTTCTAAGCAACCTTCAACAACCTCCCTGAAACATGCAACACCTTAAAGGCATATTGCATCAAAACTACAATAATTTTAAACATGAATTATGTTATCGTTTTCAGTAGATTGTTTTCAATTAAATCCAACGACTAATTAATCTTGAGGCTCAATTCAGTATGTATATTTAAAGAAATAATTAGTAGCTTGACTATCTAAAATTTGATTCCAAAATGAAATTTGTAGGCGCTATTGTTTGCTTCTACTGGCTATCTGCAAGGTAACGCCTTAAGCGTATTGGTAACCCGCAATCTCCACAATGTTTTGGTTGCTTTCGAAAATCTTGGGCAATAGCTAATACGCGGTGTAGTACTCCAAATCGATAGCCGGACGGTCGGTGCGGTAGTCTCGCAAACCAACTTCCAGTCAAGGTGAACCTTTACGGTTGCTTTTTAGGTCGAAAATGTTCAATGTCAAAACAACCGCAGAACTAAATTGCTCGCTAAATTACCTCTTATTGACACGCAGGGCCCACCTAGCTCCTATTTTGTGGCTTGGACATACTATGAGCATTTTATAAATTCTTTTTTTTTTTTTTTTCAGCTAAAATACAGTGCGTAAATGATGTACCTGTCTCAATTGTTCTTGCACTGTGTATGTTTAATATTATAATTGATATTAATTTAGTAATAATTTTCTATACGCAAAGAAATCTTTATCTTTTGAAATTCATAGTGCAAAATATACAACAATGTACAGATGATTGCAGGCGTTTTACAATTTGTCGCATCAACAGTATCAAGAGACCTTATTAAAAGTTTTAAAGTAGTGAGAGCTTGGTAGTAAAGCTTTCATAGAAATAGGCCGTATCTCGCGTATTCAGGCTACGGAATAATGTGTATTTTGGCGCCGCTCGGTTACCCCTCGGTGCTGTTGTCTCCTGTGCGGCCACGCTGCATCTCGTTGCTTCCTGTTGAGGATAGACCTACCTCTTTCGCGGCTTGCGGCGTGGCCGGCGCCTCTCACCCTCGAGCTCGCTGTCGAGGCCGCGACGCCGCGGCGCACCAGCTCCCCGTCGTCGCTCCAGCTTGCGATCTTGTTGAACTTCGCGAAGCTCGTCTACTATGGCCACTCGGGGCACGCAATCATCTTCTTCAATAGGCTTTGGGGTCTGCGGTGCGCCCATCCGAAGATGGCGTTGACGCCACCACAGGACCCACGAGCTGATGTTGTCGCGAATGTTGGTGACGAGCGCCCCGAAATCGAACTCAAACCGTGCGGGCGGCAGCCTGACGATTTTATAGCGGCGATCTAAGAGTAAAATACGTCAAGGCGGATAGTTCCTTAACGAATGAACTTAACGCGCTAGTGGCAGGCTCAGCTGGCAGTGAAAGCTGGTCGGATTGAAGTGAAAAAATGGCAGTGAAATTTAGCAATAGCAGTTCAATTTCAGTTCTCCCGTGTCGCGCGGTAATTTACTTTATTCCCCCAATATTTCATCAGTCTTTGAGTTCTCGTAAAATCACATTTTCCACTCACAAGCGGGAAGCGTATATATAAGAAACCTACGTTTTAAAAATATTTGGCAGGAATGTTTGGCAGTATGGTGATCGCGGGGCCTACATAATTTAAGTATCGCCGTCTGGGTGCTTGTTTGTAGCCATGACGAAGGCACGGACTTCGTCGGTGGTCGCGTGGACGAACATGGCGTGCGCGCGTATGGTCTGCGGTGGGGAAGCGTGCCGCGCTAGCAGGGCCGTCGCGCTCAACAGATGTTGGAGTAAATAGCGTTACGTAATGTAGCGTACCGAGCGCGATAGGAGGACGTGTACGCGCGACGGTATCGGGCGCGCGAATGTCGCGGAGACTCCGCTCCGATCGCATGGAGCAGCGCCGTCTCCCTCTACCGCCCCTATCCACCACCACCCCAACCCCCGCGCCATCCTGAAAACCCACTCTAGCCATACCTTTGACGAGGATGCTTTAGCGCTATTGTCCTTTGCGTTATTATTTCGTTTTCAGTTCAAAACGTTGGAGTTTTGGTGAAGTCGACGTTCCCGACCACCATTAATAAACAACATCCACTCGGGCTCATATGGTTAACATAGTTAACAGTACCAAGTAGTACCATGTTAATACTCGCTTTTTCAACACTATTCTAAATATTTGAGTTTGCGTTTAAATGCTCCGTTCGAATTGTTTGTCTGATTTAATTTTATGTCGGTTTTTCTTCTTCTTTAAATTGAATGAAAGATTAATAAAAACAATACTATGGAACTAGAGGAAGGGATTGCACAAATTCTATTAGTAGTATAAGCCGTTCAAGTATTGGCATCGTCTTTGTTTATATAGACTTCAGGATACGATTTGAGAAGGGGGTGGATGGCGATGTTTTTATCGGCTCAGTCGGCTGCTACAAGGTCGACGGAACGTTCACTCTAACAATATTTTATGAGATCTCTTAACAGCCCGACACGTGCGAAGCTTTGGACGCAATGCGTATGTGTTAGACTCAACATTTCAGTAAGTTCGGTAATTAGAACTGACCACTGTCGATTTGAGATTTTGCTTTTAGTATTCACACCATTACCTCAGCAAGGACGTTTCAATTTAAAAAAAAAACATAAATTTAACTATATTCACTCCAGCTAATAAATTTCAAATCAAATAAAAACCTACTTTGACGTATTAAGCTTTCAAACAACGATGTTTTAATTTCTTTCTATATTTGTACCAGTTATAAACATATCCTAATTCTCCCTGCCTTTTAAATTTTTGTACTATTTTCTGTTGTTATACTTGTTGCAATTCATTTTTTTCTGCTCTTTTTTTGTCTCGAATGTTTACGCTTCGAATGTTTAGGTTAATTTATAAAAAAAATTAGAATTGAAAGTTTTAGTAGTGGCATGTTCCTGCTTTTGTTAATTTTTTGTTTATTTATTATTAAATTAATCATAATAATTATTATAAAACAAGTAGTAAAAATTTAATTATTTATTTATTTATTAACTGAGCAAGATAATGTAGTGAAATCGATGCGTTTTTGAAAGTGAGCTGTTAAATCCTCAATGTATACTCGAGCATATTCCTTTATCAACAAAACTGAAATAGTTCATTTTAAATTATAGTAACAAAATGATATTTCGTAAGGAGGAACGTCATCATCATTATGGACAGTCATCATCATCCTCGTGCCCTTATTCCACCTAGGTGGGATCGTCGCAACATGGGATCATGTTGTATCTTTAATTGAGTTCGCATGGTATTCAAACTTATCTGCAACTGTACTAACAAAATAAAAGAAATTTACTATTTTTTAGTAAAGTAGGTGTTTAAAATGGTTAACACCATATCCATTTATCATGACTCCATTTAGGTAATCGAATGCTATCTCTACTAGAAAATTTATGTCACCAATGGTTACTAAAATCCCTAACGCATGTATTAATAAGAGTTCTTAATAACTTTTAACAAGAGAGAAATGTACATAGATATAGATAAGGACATAAATTATTCTTCAAAGCATCTTTTCAGGAAATACAGAAAGACATGGATTACAAAGCAATGTAACTTTATTTATTAGGTACTATAAGTTTTGTTCTAACATTTACTTAAAATGAGATACAGTGAATAATAAAATTAATACTTTGAACTTTTGACTTTCGAAATGGGGAGTCCATTCGCACTTGAGGTTAAGTTAGATGTTGATTAAGTTTATTTTACACATATCTTGTGATGTTACAGTCTTTAATATAATTTGATTATTATAATATGGATGACACAGCTATTAAAACACAATTAAGTTTCTCTGCAAAAAATGAAACTACATTTAATGTTACTAATCACAATATCGATTCCTAAGTCACTATTATTTTTATTAGCTATTTTGTAACAAAATTATTTAAATAAAGCATATCTTATAACAGCTATATTCTTTCTCAGTTATAATTCAGACTTTCACAATCTATTTTAGAATCGGTCGACACAAAAATATTTAAATTAAAGAAAATAATATTTTTATTTAGATATATATATATATATATTAAGTATACAATCTTCATTGAGATGTATTTTACTTTTGATGTTTTTATTTACATGTAGTTCTATTGGACTAGAGCGACGATTCCTTCGCATATTTGTAATCTGAATTGAACATAATGTCATAGCACTTCCACTCACCAACTAACGCTAGATAAACTAGCGACCCGACCCCATAATTAAATAACATCGGTGAAACTAAAATATCAAAACAGAAAAAATAAACAACAAAATAATAATGGCTGGATGGTTTGTAGTTTGCCTATAGGTGTCTGGTTGGCAATCTGCAGCGCGCAATACGAGAAATCTCATGCCTCAAATCGTTGCCCAGAGCACGTACTGTAAATATGCAATATTAACAGACGGATTATGCAAAACCTTAAACATGTAAATAGTAAAGCTAATTTTAATCTCCGCAACCTTTACGTCCGTCCGTGACGTTAGTAGCATATCAGTGACATTTTTTTTTTATACTAAGCTATAAACGAGATTATCAAAATCATTTTCATATTTGCTATGTTTACACACCCATAAATACCAACAGTTCTTTTAGTTCTGTAGAAGTTTCCATTTTCTCATAATTAATATGAATAATAACACAATGCAGTATCGATATCTACATTAAAATAATATTTGATGACTCCGTGGCGTAGTTGCCGAGGTATTGGCTTCGGCGTCGGGGGTCGTGGGTTCGGTTCCCACACGGGACAACTATTTGTGTGGCCCACAGATAGTTGTTTCGCATCTGGGTGTTTGTCCGCGTGAAATTCATGTTTGTAAAATATCCTTACAACACAGGATAATTTTATCCTAAAGTAAGGGCAATCTTTTTTAAAACAAAAAAAAGTATATTAAAATATAACATAGCGTATGCTTACTTTATCAGTCTGTCGATAATAAAACTACGAAACTACATGAACTGGCGTTTATAACGGGAGCCTGAATATCTCAACGCTGCGCACTTCTATTTCGCTTGTTAACTTTTTCAGTGGAAATTCTAACATCCGTGAATAGAAGAGCTTCCAAAGAACAATTGACATGACTCAAATGCAATACGGAATGCGAGTACAATTGTCCGCGCTAACAAAAGCTGCAGCGTAAAGGCGATTCTCAGTGCCACATAACTAGTGTGAGGTTACGATGGAAATTACCGAGTTTCTCCCAAATCACCCCAAATAGTTCTCAGTGAGTTTAATACAAAAAAAGTAAAAAAAAATTAGCAACAGCCTGTACAGACAGAAAGAAACAGAGTCGTCTTCTTCTCCGGCTGGCTATGTCAATTAAACAACACGCCAAGGAAAATTCCTTTGAAAAATTATTATTGTATACAGTCCTACGCATATATGACATTTGCTCACCAATTCTACTAACGTGTGCAAGCTGCAGATAGTTCTAAAAACCGACCAAGCGAGTCGAACTCGGCTACACTCGGAACTTATCTATAAAAACGGCGAAAAGATCATGTCCGTTGTATGGAAGCCCCATTAAATATTTTTTATTCTATTGTTAGTATTTTTTGTTACAATGGCAACAGAAATACGTCACGGTTCATGAGATGCAGGCTGGTAACCGACGGACAGATAGACAGACAGACAGCGGAGTCTTAGTAATAGGGTTCCGTTTCACCCTTTGGTTACGGAAACCTAAAAAGGTCATCCGCCGCGCAAAAAGTGCGTGGTGGTATCAATGGTGGTGCTTAAATTGCAATCCCATTGCTAGTGCATTTTACACAGTTAACGCAAATACATTTCTTTTGCTTTTATTCCTGTAATTGAAACTTACGAATTGAGATCCCTGAAATCAGCTTAATTACGAGCTGAAGGTTGCGCCGCACTGGCTTGTGATTTCCGAATCCTTCGAGTTTCATTTCACTTCTCACGTTGCAAAGCAGTCCTATGTAAGGCTGAAATTGCCCATTAGAAGTTAATCGAGCAAAATTTCTCCACTCGCATCTAATTCGCAGCGTGTGTCTTGAAATCAACATAGAAAGAAAACGAACAATTCAAAACTCGTATCGTACACGTACATGAGGTCACTTATACAACCCTATAATCGATGAGTTAACTCACTAATATTCGTAACTTACCTCACTTATTATACATATACAAATATTAAACATGAACTGACATAAAACACTTTTTAAACAGACTGAGTAGTCACCGAGTTAAATTCAAAGCGCCTGGAAATGGAATGGAATGGAGGATGAAGTTCCAAGTACTTATTTGTTAACACAGGTCAAACAACAAATTTTGTACTTACTGCAGCTGTCTCACTCAAAGCGCTTGCATGCCGTAAGCTAATAAACAATTTAACTCAACATTATACAAATATTTAACTTTAATTATCCCGGAACATTTTAGCTTTACACTCAGACGCAAAAGTCAAAGGATTCAGCATTCGTATCGGGCTTAAAGTCAAACACAATTTAAATACAAGATAATCAGAACCAAAAATTAAACTTATATTTAATAACACTACTTCAATACGAACACTATCATTCACTTCAATACGAACTTATCATCAAACAGACGACACGCGAACGACCGGTGGATTATGGCAAACAGACGACACGCGAACGACCGGTGGATGGAAATGGCCAAGTGTCGTTCGATGTGGCGTTCTAAGGGGGAGGCATATATTCAACAGTAGACGTCTTTCGGCTGATAATGATGATGACAAATCAACGTATTATCATATGTTTATGAGTAAGACTTCAATATTCACGTTTCTTATAATTAGATTATATAATATCTTTAATGTTGCACTTCTTTACTGTTGTTGTTCATTAAAACGGTATTTTTAAGACATAATATAAAAAAGTGTAGTTACTTCAGTTCAATAAATGGCAAGCGACGTGATAAATGAGATTTCAACGTGATTTTAGAACACGTGTTCTTTACCTCTTACTTATAAGTCACGAAATATTA